TTCAAACACAAAACACACAACAGCCTCAAATAGAAATCCACCTGCCTTCTAAGGCACTCGGTCTGAAATGTTCATGTCTGGGCATGGTCCTGGTGCTCATTTAACTGCTGCTAAGATTTAAATATGCTAGATCATGCGTTTAGTTTCTTGCAGATTGCACACCCTTACACAGCAGGTCTTAAAGAACATCCTCAGAAGTTATTGTTTCTTTAACATAAAAGCACTCTGGCACAAACAGAACAGTAGAACTTCTCTGCATTTGACTAGCTAATGCAACTATTTTGGTTATGTCAACAGTTCCATTTTTCCTAAGAACTTCACGGGGCACAGCCACAGCATGTGTTTGTGGAAGTACCTGAGTAACAGAATGCCCAGTAGTCCAAAGCATTGCTTACAATCCAAACACTGACACATGAAACACTGTACCAGCTTGGAACATTTTATCACCAGGAATACAGGCTTGCAGAATTATTACCTGGAAGATCAGAGCTGATCTGAGCTGCCTGGAAGATGATGTCTTTAATGCTTTGTGTGTTTTTGTTTTTTTTTTTTAAAGCAGAACTGAACAATTTTGTATTACGTTCTCCCTACAGTATACTCTAGCACTTTGTATGAGAAGTGTTAAATTATCAAGTCAATCAGATCGTAAAAATACAGCGCATGATAAACCAGAGTGATGAAGAACAGCTCTATTTTCTCCTTTGCTTAGAAAACAAATTGTAGACTTGAATAGTCTCATCACACTCTTTGGGTCTGTCACACAGTCTGTAGGAATAAGAACAAACAAACAAAAACACCACATCCAGCAGTGACCTGAAACATTATCCATTGTCAGTCAAAACAGTCAACGATAGCCTACTCCCAGTGCAGGACAAAGTTCCAAACATTTTTCCTAAGCATTTATGTTTGGGGAGGGGGAAATTACATCATTATTCTCAAAGGCCATTGTCTTCTGGCACTATCAAGCTCTACTTCAGCAGAGGAAAACATCATGAGGTGTCACTGGCTTGCCAGTGTAATTTATCTACATTAGGTAGGTAGTAAATGCTACTTCAGTGAGATTTAGTATCATCTAGGGTTCAAAGTCATACAAGCAAAAGCAAGAAAACAAACTAGACTAACAAGGAAAATTACAGGCTAGCCTGGTGTACAATTATCACAGAAACATGTAATTTTAGTATCTGCACTGCTGTAGTACCTAAAGGCTCAGACCAAGAACAAAACACTTATTTGAGGGTGCTCAAGGCAAGTCCCAAGAAGTCCATTATCTAAGACATGATGCAAGACATGGGTAAGATGTAAGATTTAGTAAGAGAAGACAAGAAATTAGAACATCTGTTAACATACACCATCACATGACCAGTTTCCAAAAAGAAGATCAAGTTACCAGGGGGTTTCCATCTTTCTCATAAAGTCAGCTCAGATTTTAAACTAAAAAAACTGGATCACCATCTTATCACTCTTGAAAAGGAGGAATATGGCTTGAATCCCACCAGATCCTTCACAGTCCTATATTAGGAATACACATTGATAAAAACAGACTAGCAACTTCTGAAGCGTGGTGATACTTAAATAAGATTCTTTAGATAAACATTTAATCTCTCCCTTAAATAATGGCAGAACTCACCCCTTCCCACCTAAACACACAGTCCAAAATGTCTATCTTATGATAGGGGAAATTACTAAAAGAGCAGCTTCAGACCTTTCACAAAAGCTTCAATTCTTCGAAACACCCCAACAAATTCTAATGGGCAAATACAATCTACATCAGCTACAAATCCCTGCCTCCAAGGCTCTGCATTCAGTCATCTGATCACTTTTTTGAACGTTCAATCTTTTCTAATTCTTAAAAGGGAGATTATCAGGATTCTCTTTATCTGAAGAAAAGCAGAGCCAGCATTTCTTGAACAGCTTTTCATGCTGTGTTTAAGAACACAGAGACAAGCAGTGTCAGCTTAAGAAAATTCGTAGCACTTCAGGAAAATCCTATGATATAACCACTTAGCTTTCTCGTTTTTCTCTCCTTCCCTTAAAAATCAACAAAAGAAAGGAATTTATCAGGAATGGCAACAGCTTAAAAATTAGGCAACTATAAATCTAAACTCCCAGAAAAATTCAATGAAACTAACTAAAAATACCCCATGCTTAATGAATAATATAAAGATAAATATATCTGATCTTACTTTATAACTCTTAACAACGTTTTTTATATAAAGCTTTCTCAAACCATTCCTTTCAAACTCTAAAAACTAAATTAGAATATAAACACTCCCACAAACCTCATGGGAAGCAGTAACAACCTAGATCAAACCCAGAAACAAGTTTCAGTTAAAGGATTGCAGATCCAACAGCTTCAGCTTGCACAGAGGCTTGGTCTCCATCCAACTGCTCCAATGTAACAACTTCTACACTGGTCACAAGATGACCCAAACCTGAGTCTAGACTGACACTCAGCAGCTCATTCTGCACTAAAAAGAGGTGTCTGTTAAAATAACCAGGTGAGTCTTCCTTTCTTGGCTGTTATCAATCTGATTGATACTAAACCACACTTCCTAACCAACAGTTTTCAGTTATCTCTTCCCCATGCAGCCACGAGGAAAAGCCTAATTCATGTTGATTGTAAAGCTGAAAAATTTCAACTCAAGATGAACAAATGTCTCCAAAGACTTCTTAAAGCAACTTCATGTGTTATACAAAAACACCAGTGTAACACTCCCGTCATTAACAATCACTGCAATCAAGCTCACGGTTCTCAGTTGTTCTGCTAAATACAGAATACACCAGAAAAATCTTATGTGTGAGAGGCTGCAGAGAGAACAATACCAAATGGAGTCCCACCAGGCGCAGAAGCTCCAGGAGCTTCACAAAAGTGCTTAATGGAATGAGAGCATTCCAAAGCTACATAACAAACAAATAAAAAGCATCTACTGTTGGTTAATTTTTTTTTTTTGTATCTGGGCAAGACTAACCATCCTCTGGCAAGAAGTCACAGCATGGATCAAAACTCAACGTCTGCTAAAGAACAACTGAGTTTCACTGCCGAGTACAGGTACTGCCACCCTGTCAGTCTTCCTTGGTGGCGGCTGAAGTGCTTTTAAGAAAGTGTCTAAAGCAAAAAAGCCCATGATATTTACCACAACATTTTGATAATAAAACAGAAGAAGCTGTAATGAGACAACAGGCCAAGCTGTTTTCCAAAGCGCTATCAGAGAGAGTGAAATTTTACTCGTTATAAGCATCTTTCTAAACCTTTTCCAAACCTAAAGTTTTCTAAACCTTTGCAGACAGTTTATTCAATGGATTATTAGTAAAATTACTTGGCCACAGACAAGGTTCTTCCTGGGGGGAGGGAATAATTTTCTTCACTTCAGCAACTTTGAAAGTCTTCGCTAATGTTATAAACCTTACTCTTACTCAACGTATCTTTTGTTAATCTTTCCTTCAATAACTACAAAACTACTGACAATCAACTACTTATCACTAGAACACTCCAGGATGAAATATTTTATGCACAGCCTGCATGGATGAACATTCTCGTAGTGCAAGCACTTTGCAAAAAGGTTTTTTCTTCTCTTCTCGTGCATCTCTCCTGATATTGAGCAATCCTGCCCATGTTTTGTTATCTTGATCAACTAAAAATCCAGTAAATTAAACCAAATACAAATGTCTTGGATCCACGCTTCATCAACAACTTACTGAGGCCACAAGACTCAGATTTTTGCTAACATTCCTCTTGATGTATCAAGACAGCATTACACTGCATCAGTGAGCAAGTGAGAAAACTTACAGTAAAGATTTGAAGGGTAGGAGGATCTTAACTTCATCCTCCATAGCC